ACAAAGCCGTCCATTAAAATCCAGAGACATTGAGGAACTGCCTTACATGCCCCATTGCTGTAGGACCTGTTTAACTATCTCGAAGTAGTCATGTTAAAACAATCGACCCAGCATTATAGATATCTTTTTACTCAATAACTGATTCTAATTAGTTCTCAGTCTTGAAGAACACCTTGTCCTGTGTCGCCCATCTCACCACTGCCACCCCCAGCTCCCACTAAATGCAACATATTATGGTGTGTTTTACTTAACTGTAGCACATTAGGGAGGAAAGGGTATCGATATTCTGAAACCACAGTGACATTTCCAGATGTATAGATTCATGGGAAAAAACTAGATACAAAGACAGTTACATACTGTCATTCATTTTCTAGCCACATTGGAAAATAAAACCTTTGGCTTCATCTCTCCATTTTTAAAAAGTCAAAATTCCTAAAATGATAAAATATCTTAAAATATTTATATGTATTCATCTATATATCTTACTTATAATTTAAATGGTTTCTTAATTTTCATCAGGCTACACAAAATCAAATTAGAATTTTATATTTTTCCAAATAAGAAAATTGTTTTAATTTTAAAAATAAACACAAAGAACTCTCGTGGTGGAAAATTTACCGATCAAGGTGACCTAAAGAAAAGTCACTTTGGAAAATATTCCATTTTGAATGTAAATAATGCATTTGTCTCATTATTATGCATAATGGTAACTTCATTAAGGGATTGATACTAGTGAATATACCCATTCACATTCAGCAAGGACACTGAAGAAGTCTTCCTGTATCTTTTTTTTTTAACCTTTATCCAATTTTCATTTTTGTTGTTGTTTTGTATGACTGTGTTTATCCTATATCCTTTATTATTTGATTAGTGAGTGACTTTTCCATGTTAATTTTCTGGTATAATAAAGTAGGGTAAAGAAAATAAATGGGTTCTATCTTTATATTTACTTTTACAGGTATCATTTTATCGCCCTATTTCTAAGTATTTCATGAAAAGATTCTAGATGTCAAAACCTGCAGTTAACGTTCCTGTTTAGAAATACGCAAAATAATACCTTTGACGTTGGCAACTCAGATGTATTATTCAGCAAAACAGCAATTACTCATTGTTTTGCACTTACATGTTAAGAACTATGAGACACTTGGTGACACAATAACAAAATTGCAAAGTCAATTACATTTAAAATAGACATCCTAGTAAAACATACACAACCAATTCCATTTGCTTTTTCTGAACTGTTTTGTTTCCTTTTTCTAACTGTTTACAGTTAAATAGATTTTGTGAATGTTAAACCGAAAGATAACTGATTTACACACATCATGAGGGGGAAAAAAGTTAGAAAGTAGGGGGAGGGGCATAACATAAAAAGGAAGTGTATTCCTGGGGACACCAGAATCCACCTAGGGAGGTGCCAGAATATTCTTAAATATTTTTGGAAATGATGTTCTTTTGCAATGTCAATCACAGTGGCAAACTGAAAGAGCAGTGTACCACAATTTAAAGCAAAATTTAAGCTAGATTCACACTAACAATTCTATGCAGGACTCAAGTAATAAAACCCAAGTACAGCCCATTTATATTTAAGAATAGAGAGCTTCAGGTGGGACTGGGTGTTTGTTTTATTGTATTTTAATTGCACAAGCAGTATTTTTGTAATTTGAACTTGCCAGTAATGAATTCCACCTCTCATCCCAGCCTGAAGCCTGAACTGAAGTTCCCATCAGAAAATTAAAATGTTTCTCTGGATAAAATAACTTCTAAATGAACTCTCTATTCCTTTTCGTTTCTTTTTGTATTTTCTGCAATGTAGCTCCTCGCAATGATATTAGTTCTAGTGTGGGAAAATATTATAATTGAGATTTGGTAAGTTATTTGCAGACTTTTCTTTACAGTTTTTCTTTACACTGTGCTGACATTTAGTACAGCCCTGGTGAGGAAAACAATACTACCATTCATAGCTCTAGACGTAGATTTCAATCGACTTAAGCGGGCACAATGAAACTTGGTCATTCACTGGTTACCCATATTGTGTTCTCAAATTTTCTCTCAGCAAAAGTATAATGACTCAGTATTGTATGGTTGCATAGACAAGGGCTCGGAACAAGAGACACTAGTTTTGTCTGACGGTGTGAGAAAGTCGTGAAGGGATCTTTTCTTCCAGATGGTGTTAAATTCAGCTGCCTTTTTAACATTGGCCTTGCACAGCAATCTGCTGCTCCCCTTTCACAAAGACTGCGCTTGGTTCCCACTAGTTAACATGCATACTCACGCAACCTGCAACTTCACTCCAACTGTTTTACAATGCAGTGGTATGCTAAATAAACTTGATCCGGTTTCTGCCAATGTTAAAACTAGCTTTCAAAGAACTACTTAACTGATATTTACACTTCTTTTGACTTAAATGTACATGCCTTTGGAATATTTCAGATTTCAAAGAAATATCACCTTATTATAAGGTCAATGTAGAGATTATTTCCAATACCCTTCAAACTCATGCTCAGATACAGTACCTCTCTTCAACACACACAAATAAAACAAAATGTCAGAAGTTTGATGTGTAATAGAAAAAAGAAAAATTGGGACATGTTGCACCAAGAGCAGTGAAACAGCAAAAAATAAAATGAAAATAATAACATTGAAATGTATTTTTATTGATCGATAAGTTATGTAACATTAGTATGATACAAAGCAAGTTTGATATGACAATGGTAAACACATAATTATAATATTGTTTATTTTCCTTAGATGTTATATTTAACATATTTACATAAAAGACCAAGATGTAGGCAAAAGCTTCAGTAATTTGACTCCATTGAGTGCTTTCAGTAAACAATAGGTTTCTCCAGCAAACATCTTATTGCCTTAATTGAACCTCCTTGAAAAAGAAAACCACACACTTTGTAATGTAAATGTTAATTGTAGTAGACAATGGTTCTAGGTAAATAGCACCCCTGGACATGAAGTAAATGAAAGGAATACAGGCACTTAACAATGAAAGGTTGTTTGCACAAACAGTGCTTCAAATGTAAATAAACAAGGGTCTTCTCAACGGTCACTACAGTAGTAAAACTTTGGCACGTGTACAGCAGCCAAATTGAGAATTTATGTATATAAAGTCTCTCAGACTTTCTAACTGAAACTAACAGTGGTTTAACAGGCTTCTCCAGTCTGAAGTCATATAAGGAATTGAAGCTACAAAGGAAATTGTACTACTTTTAAAGAAAAAATGTATATTTGAGATTGTCAGTAATCCAGGCCACATGGAAGATAACAGGCTATTTGGAATATTTTCTAATTGCAATGGTTACATTTCTGTGTAAATGCCTATACAAATGTTTGCTTGGTGACATATGGAAAACTTAAGGACTTTTATGAAAAGGCGGCAATGGGGACCTCCAAAGCACCAAAGTTTCTGCTAGGCATAGTATTCTTTTTAGATTACATTAAAATGGCTATTTCGACCCATCTAGCTGAGACAATTTCAAAATAAACTTTTTATCATATTGTTATAATCAACTTTCTACAGGTTAATGATTTTATAATTTTACTTCAGGTGTATATCTACTAGCCCAATAAGACCAAGTTCCTAGATGTATCATGTTAAGAGGTAAAAAGCCTCATGAAATTATAATGACTGTTTATATAGAGATATGTATTTTAAAATACAGCCCACCCAAAACAAAAGTAAAAATGTGGTCACAAGGCCATAATCTCATGGACTGAGATTTTGACATTAGGGGCAGGCAGTCATGGGACTTTCTTGGAATTGCTTTCTAATAGGTTGCCTTGAATTCTGAAAATCTCAAACAACGAAGAAAGCCAAACTTAATTATGGCCAGATTAAACAGTGGTTAAAAAATTAACAGAAGCAGACAGTATGCAGCAGCTACAGACCAGTTGGTGCTGCCATTTGGGGAGCTGCAGATGGCTGTGGGTGGGAAATGCCTTTACTTTCTTAAGCGATGGAGATGAGTATGGTGTGTGCACTTGATGTTTTTTTCATACCCCCACCCCCCAACAGGGCTGTCTGTCATAGGCTGCCCGGCCTCGCTTTATCACTTGCCCCCGAGCGTGGGAATCGGAGCGTCCTGCCGTTCACATCTCCTGCATTCCGTTTAGCGGAATCAATTAGGCAAGACAGACCCTCAGATTCCCCACCCCCTTTCCATTTTTGTCAGGTCTATATACGTCCTAATTATTTCAGTTTGGGATGCCAGAGCTGTTTCCTGGATAGACCTGATCATCCTTAAACAAAAAGAGAGGAGGCGCACACGTGGGTTGTGGCGTAAATGTCACTTTCATTTCCAATGCTAGGCGCAGAGTAAGACAGAACATTTTTTTAACACTTTGACAAGAGGGGAGGCGATCTCGTCTCCATCATGTCTTTCTGCTTCAGTAGCTTCCTCAAGGAAACCCTCTTGGAACAGAGAAGCATCTGTCCTTGTATTTTGAATAGAAGAATAAAAATCAGCCCTTGCTGGTTTTTTTTTTTTTTTTTTTTTTTTTTTGAGTTTGCCTCTGTTGCCCAGGCTGGAGTGCAGTGGCATGATCTCAGCCCACTGCAACTTCCACTTTTTTTTTTTTTTTTTTTTTTTTTTTCATTTTTCCTGCTAGCTCTTAGTCCTCAGTATATATAAATTACTAACCTTCCGGTATAAACTTTTCTGAAAGTCTAATTTCGTACAAATTGACAGACAGCCCAAATACATGTAAAGTAATTTCCAAGCACAATCTTCCAATTTTGAAGGGGAGGGGCCTCAGGAAGGAACTGCCCAAGTCTACATGTTATGGAATCATTTTTAAACTAGGTACCAGACATCTCTGCAACAGCTTTCTAAGAAAAAAATCCCTGATATATAAACTTTTGCCTTAAAATAGAACAAACTGCACATGCATCTTTACTCATTAGCACTATACACTTCTTTGCAGCTGCAATAACCCCTCTCAAGATATATCTGGCACCTTGATATTTTAGCATATGTGTGTCACTTAATTTCCTCTCATCCCACCTTTAATCATAGGGGAAAAAACAAAACAAAAACAAAGTTAGATTCAATAAGTATTCCTGACCTTTCTGGTTTTTACTGTCTCTCGGTTGTAGTCTTTCACTCTCACACGCTCCCCGGCGATCTTGAAGGAGTTTTTACTTTCGGTTATCTAGCTTTATGAAGACCAATACACTCATACAGCTAGATAACCAAAGATAACAACTCGCTTCCCACACAGGCCTCTGTCTTCCTCTTGCCAGACTCCAGGTCCCGATCCTTTCTGGCAGTACCGAGGAGTAGTCGTCCAGGATACTTGCCGCGCTTAAGATTCCTCCTTTTATGTAAATATGACCTGGTTTCTGTTTGTGTGTGTGCGCGGCTAAAATATCCAAACGAGATCTGTTGCCTTCAGAGTTTATTCCGAACTTTTTTTTTCCTTTCAGCAAGTAATCTCCGGCAGCGTTAGCCAACAATTCATCTATTAATATCAGAAAATAAAACCAGCTATTAAGGTGCAGCAAGCTGTTACGAGTGAGCAGCAGCATCCGTCCCTTCACAGGCCTCTATTTGCATTGTAAATTGCTTCTTTCTCACGCAAGACTCTTTAGCCTCTCTCTATAGAGATGTATAAAGCCAACGGCAATTTCCAGCGCAGGTTAAGGAGGAAGGAAAAAAAAAACATCCCATTCTATAGAAGTGACAGCTGATTCAAGGATCTGCTCCTGATCCTTTTTGGTTAGGCACCATGAGCTTTTTACCAAGCGGTGGCAGCTTGATTGCACATATCTTGTGTGTATGTGTTTTAGGGGGAAGATCCTCGATTTCACAGGGCTTCTAGGCTGGGAAGGAGAAGATGCCGTCTTGCTGGCCTGCTGCTGCCCCCGGTCTGAAAGAAGGAGAAAAGGGCCATCATTGGAGGGGCTTTCACTGCCAAATTGTGGACCAGCCCGGCAAGGTCAAAGGTTCGAGACCGCGGGAGACCAAGGTAATGATGATGTCATGAGAAATCTCAAGTACATGGTTATTGATATGCATCAGTGATCAGCCAACTGCCCCACGCCTGCTGCCTGAGCAGCGGCAGCGACAGCAGCAGTAGCGGCAGCATTGCAACAATCCCTATTTTCTCAATCAACATCTCTTCCGCTAGCACTACCGACTGCTCCTGGAAAAGCAACCCGCGGCCTTTTACCTCCTCCGTGCTAGTGTAGATCGTTCTAATATCCAAAGACTGGAAGAAATCTCTCTCTAAGGACAGATAAAAGCATTTCAGATCTGGGGAACGTCTTTGCCTGCATTTTTCTTCTGGCAGATTGCATAGGCAGACAGATGGAAGGCACTTTGCTATTGCTTAAAGCAGGGCCTCGTTTTCTGGGGCTGGGAATCAGATCTGTATTACGCAGTGAGTCGATGTGTGATTACAGTGACAATTTGCTCTGGTGGTGTGTTTTTAATGGCTTCACAGCTCAGTCATGTTTTGTATCTATGTACCATGGCGATAGGGCAGCGTATTTTGTTCTGTAAGTTCAAACTGAATGCTCTTAAGCAAGTGGACTTCATCCTGGTTTTTAAAAAATGACTGCATATGTAGGGTGTGTGCGTTAGAATGCAGCACAGATAAACATTGCAGCATTAGTTTCTAAGCTGTACACAACTCTGCTGTAATGAAAATCCTGAGCCTTTGTCTATTGTTTTAAACATCAATTTTCATACAAAAGGAAAATGTAATAGTCTTGCTTCTGAAAGTATGAAAGAAGCATTGTTACCTCGTGAAGAATACATATAAAACACCTGGATGTTAAGAGCATAACTCTGCCCTACCTTCCCCTTCTCCACCCCCACCTTTCTTCTATCTAGAGAGGAATGCTGTTTTATTAATTAATTAGCCTCATTCCTTTTCTTAGAACTTTTCAAAGTGTGAATATGATCACTTCAAAGAGTCTTTTTCTTCTTCTCTCTCCTTAGTAATGAGTAATCTATGTCTAACACATAATACGCGTAGTTGTAATATTCAAATGTCCCTCAACAGAACATCTAAGGTAATCTACATAAGATTCATATTTACCAAGGGTGAACCTTATGAACTGCTTTTCAAAATTTCAAGTTATGTTTGGTCATATTGCTATTCTTTAAAATATATGCTATTAGAGTAATCTTAATATTCTTTGCACATATGACTAGTTTATCACAATACTCTCATTTCTATAGATTATTTTCCCCAACAACTAAAACACTTTTGGAATTAACATACACTTTCATTAATTCAGTGACTTATTCATTTAAGACACGAATGTGAACACGCTTACTGAATTACATACAGAGCACATATATATAAACCCTATAAAAAAAGACTAGCAAGAAAATCAGAATAGTGAGGAAAAGCCTATAATTAAGAGTTTAAACTACAATATTACACCAATTAAAGACATGATTTAGTAACATAGATGCCAGCGTTTCCCAAGATTTTTTATTTCTTTACTTTTTTGGTAAACATTCCAGTACTGATTATTTTGAAAAGACTAAGCTCTTGAAATTGTTCATCTATTTTTCTTATCAAATTATGGTACAAGAGGTACAATCAGAAATGGCTGCATTGGGTTATACATAAAATGCACAAGCAAACCAAAAACTAATTCAGAGAAACACACCTCCATGAAGTTACTGTTCCTTCTTGAACTATCTGGTCACAACATAAACTACTAAATAAAAATGTAACATATCACTGAGGCACATTTCACTTTAGACATTATGTCAAACAGTAATGAGCTTTGCCGCCTTGGAAGAGTGAGAGTATTGTGGCCTTGCTTTCCAAGACACAGATGCAGAATCATTAGTGATTTGGCATGTATTACTTAAAGCAAGCATGTGGTCAGATGACAGATATTTTTAGAATATCCTTTTGCTTTATATATACCTGGGTGGGGGTTGGTGGAAGCAAAGAGATGTCATGCATTTGTCTGTGTACGTTTATCACCCCCATATCTGTGTGAATTTGCAAAGTAACAGGGCTATATTTCCACACTTAGCAACTAAATGCATTTTTAAAACCAAAGTACCCATCATGAAAGCCAAGACACTGAACATTTGATATGCTTCTACAATTAAAAGCTATAGAAGATACTGTCTTAAAATAGCATATTCTAGGGCAATGCCACATAGTCATATCAACTGGACTCTAGGCCTGGTCCCCATGCCTGGCACATATGACATAGACTCATCACGGGAGCCCCAATAAGTAAAATGAACCAACATTAGGATTATAGGCAGTCTGTTCATTAGCCAGATAGCCAGTTAAATATTTTACTCTCTACCATCTCTCAGGATATGCAGAAATAAAAACTACACAGGAAGGTTTAACACAGAGCATCTGATTATTTTGAATATTGCCAAAGTTTATATGATAGTTTACCATACATATTTCAAAGACTGTATTATTATACAGGATGTGACACAAGTTGAAACAATTGTGTAGCCCTAAAGATTCCTAGCAATATCTGTCACATACTAAGAGCAACTATTAACACCTACATGTTATATCAGATATTTTTGCTTTCAAAAAGCTATTAAGCTGAGCAGAATACCATTTTGAAATCTGCATACTGAAGGATATACTGAATTTAAATGGTTTGCCTGCTCATTCACTAATAAATTCCCATTAATGGCCAGTAGATTAGGACGTGATTGTCATGCTTGTTTTCTAATCTTTTTATAGGTCTCCAGATGGCTGAAACATGAATTGAAACATTCTGGTTTACTTGGGAGTAAACAGTCTCTGTTTAAATTAAAAGTGAAAAGTTAGGTTTTCCACATTATTTGGATCAGAATTACGCTATTTCATAAATTCAAATGCATTAGGTTTGTCACCAATATTTGGAACACCTCTGAATCCTATTCAGATTACTGTAAAGTACATGAAGAATTGACCTATCACTGAGATCCCCTTTTAATATTTGGTTTGTATGATTCAAATGCATGTAAACCACAGTCCACTAGTACAGTCAAGACTACCATTTTCTACATAAAAGCCATTTAATTTACAGTGATTTGTATAGTTCAGGCAAGGTACCTGACTGGCTTACTTTCTAACAAAAGTATACTATTGTTTACTCTGTATCTCAAATTTCTTTTTTATGGGCAGTTACAGGTTATATTTGTATTATGCTTGATACATAATATACAAAGGCTCCCTGCAGAGGAGAAGGCTGCACATACAGAACCTTAGAGCATGAATTAGGAGATATGCAACCCACTGCAGGCCTGCCACCCAGTAAATAATACTCTATTTTGTACATCACTTGGATTTTATCAAATGTAAATTTCAAAATTACCTTTGGTTGGTTGGATTGTCTATTCATTTATGCTTCTTTGCAGTCTCATCTGAAAAACAGTCCAGAAAACAAATGATCACAGTTTTTATATATATGAATAAAGTCATGTAGCTATTGCTTCATTTAAAATATTGCTATTACCATGGTTCCTTAAAATGCCAAGAGATTCCATAAAACCCCAGTACAATGTATCCTGGGTCTCAGCACCCACAGGGTTAAATATGCTAATTTGCATTTAAATGGAGACATGCATGATAATGTGAATGCAAAATATGCAGAATCTGGAGGGGTTTGAGAAATTAATTTTTCTTTCTTCTTTTCTTTTATTTTTAGCTTGGAAGGAAGAGGGACTCTTAAAAAAACATTAGGGACTTGAACCTTGTAACCTGCCATACAAAAGAAGAGAGTCTTTCCATGTAAGGATTTTAAGTCTGGAACAGCCTTATTTTCTAAATGTTTAAGGAACTGAATTTCCAGGCCTTTCGAACAATGGGAATTCCTGGATAAATATCTACTCCATTAGAAAGATGCAAATAGTTTACTGGAAGGCCACAGCACAGTGAGATGTGCATTCATATCTATGGCTCCTGATTGGCTCTTTCCTTCAGTAAATCAATGAATAATGTAAAACCTGATTGCTGTAAAGTGGTGGATTTTTGAAAAATTCCCTTCCCCCATTCCCTCTCGATCCAAGATTCAGGAATTCAATACTCCCCCAAATAGGTTGCTTTTCTTTTATGATTTTTTATGCTTATTGTTATTTTGGACTGGAGGGGTGGGGCTATTGGTTTTGCAAAATGAAAGTATTGCCCTGGTTTAATTACGCTGACTGTGGGAGCTCGCTTCCTGAGACAGCGCCCTAATTACCGGTGCCAGGGTGGAGAAAGGAGGGTGGTGGGCAGAGGTGGACACCAAGAAAGGGAGGAAACGGAATCCGACTCTGCGGTTCTGGGCCCAAGGCAGCCACAGCTCCAAAGCGGCCCCTGGCCGTGGCCGTGACTTGACAGAGCCTCCGGTCTAACTTCTGATCAATTCCACTGCTCTCCTGACCTCTCAAGACAGTCCCCCATTCAAGCACCGCGGGTACATTTGCAAGATAAAACGCCGCAGACACTAATGCAAATACATTGCCCGAGTTCCCATCACCCTGGGTTCCTGCAGATAATTCCAGGCCACAGAAAGGAGTTCTTGCCTTCCACAGCCGGGTCTAGACTCTAAGCAAATCGCAAAGACCCAGCTCCGTTTGGATACCAGAAGCGTCTTAAGCTGAACCGCTCCAAGTACCCATAACTAACCACGATGGTTGCATCTTGATGAATCTCAACTTGGGATAACCCTGTAAAGCGGCCTCTCACCTCCCAAAATTCAAAAGGCAAAGAGAAAAGGGAAGTGGAAAGCCACCAGATCTAGTTAGCTACTGTACTAAGTTTTCCACCAAAATCGAATCAGACCCTCGCTTCCTTGCCAGGTAATTGCAACTTTGGGGGCGGTTAAAGGGAGGCGAATTATTCAAAATGCGAATTCGAATCCAGAAGCGCAAAATACAAGTGCATTTTGTTCTAGGTTTAAAAGGGAAACCCCCACCACCACCACCACCATCACAAAACTACATACAAAAATTCCCTTTTCCAACGCGAAGATTTCCTGGCATCTCTCTGCGATTGGGGGTCAAGCCGCTGGATAATTAACAGTACTGGCTCAGAAAACTCACGAGATCAACAGGTTTAACATCCGAGGCACACAATCAATTAGCTGAAGCAAAGCCCCGGACTGGCCCTCGGAGCGGCCCGCAGCGGGGCTCTGCGGGCACCGGCTAGCGGGCGAGGTGAGGAGTGCGGGCGCGGGGCCGCGGCAGGCACTGCTGGCCTCACGCCGCCGGCAAGCTGCAGCCTGAGGGCCGCCACGATACTCACTTGATCTCCCTGCGCCAGGAAATGCTGCCCCCCAAATCCAGCTGGGCAGGAACCGAGGCGCCGGCTGAAAGACAAGATCCAGAGTCACAGCACGGCCGCAGCACACAAACAGGCTCCTTTCGGCGTCTCCAAAAAAAAAAAAAAAAAAAAAAAAATGTGTTTTTCTCATCATTCCTCTCCTCTGCTCAGCACATTTAAAACTGCCGCTCAATTCCACATGGTGATTCTTGGTTGATTGCGTCTAAAATAGTTTAAATGGGTCTTCCCTTCTGGGGAGAGGGAGAAGGGAGCAAAAGACCAAGGAGGAAAAAAAAAAAGCCAACTTTTCCCCCCCATGCCAGGCACTTGCTCCCTGAGCCTCGGAGTGGAGAGTGAAGTGGTGTGTGCGAGGCTTGGCAAGTTTTTGGGGGGGCTGTCCAAGGTCTAGTCCAGCCCCCTCTGCCGAGGAGGACGTGCTCTGAAACTCAACCAATTTCCCCACTGCTTTTGTTACTGATGAACTGAAGCCCTATTGTTCATCCATTGCCACGGTCTTTTTCAGTCCCCACACTACGTTCTGCGTTGCCAGAGATAATGAATTTGCACCCAAACCTCTCACAGTCCCCTCCTGACAGACGGAACAAATTAGAAATGTCTCGTCTGAAGGAAGGCAATGGCTACATTTTCCTATTGTAGGATGCAAAGCACACATTTCTTTGGAAACTTCTTTTGCGTTTTTTAAACATCCTTTTCTTCTCTTTTTCTTTTTTCCTCCAGTTTTTTTCCTCTCTTGGTTTCTTAAGATTCTTCTTCTTTTTTTTTTTTAAATAAAGAATCGCCCTGTCGTTTTTCCAAAGAACCGTTTTATGTAACTTGTGAGTCTTCCTAACCTTCTTCCCCTTCTTTCCTCTCCTTTCTTAAGGACTCTCTTTGCAATTTTATTTACAAACTTGGAGAATGACCTTTTGACTCGCATACTTGTTTTTTTTTTTTTAAAGGTCTTCTGGTTCAAGTCCCCCTTCTTCACTCCTTCCCCTGTTTGTATCGTGGTTGTTAAATGTGTTTGGCTAAAGACAAGAAATGCATTCTCAAGATTTTTATTCTCTAAACTCTAGAGCTATTCTAAAGGTACCAGGGACGCGCCATAGAGGTTATCTATTTGAGGAGGAAGAAAAAGCGTGTGTGTGTGTGTGTGTGTGTGTGTGTGTGTGTGCGCGCGCGCGCGCCTCCGCGCGCCTGTCTTCCAGGGAGAGACGGAGAGATGTGGGAGGGTGGGGGTGGAAGTGTGTAGACGACAGAGAAGGGTGGGGGCTTCGAGGGTAAGGTGGGCTTCCTGCAACACAAGCGGGGAGGCTGCCAGGGGTGTGGGCACGGGATTGCAGGGAGGCGGTGCAGGAATCCGTCCCGCAGAGTGCCGTCTGCCTCTGTGGGCCTGTTTGCGCGCCTGGGGCTGGCCGCATCGTGGGCGCGGGTATCTGCGTGCCCGGGTGGTAGTTCCGAGCCTGCGCGCGTGCGACCGGGTACGGGAGGGGGGAAGAGTGCCGTAAAAATTCAGACGAGTGGCCCGTATGTAAATGCGGCCCGGGGGGAGCAGGGAGGCGGTAATGAGAGCCGCTGGCGCTCAGCCCCGCCGGCGGCCCCTAGCTTTCCCGCCAAGTGCAGCCGGAGGACAGACAGCCATGCGTGTCCTTGGCGGGAGAGCCCCCACCCGCCGCGCGCGCCCGCCCTCCGCGCACACGCACACACTCCCCTCGCAGGCGTGGGGCCCAATGGCCACGAGCATGTCAGGAAAACAAAGCTGGGGCTGCGAGGTGGAACGATGAAACGGCAGACTTGGCAGCCGAGGGCAGAGCGGAGGAGCCGCCACCGCAGCCACCGGCGCTTTCTTGTCTGCTCGCAGCTCTGCCCTCTGGCCCAGAAGCAGCCCAGGACCATTTCTTAGCTGCCTGAGAGAAGGTGGCGAGCAGAGGAGGGGGCGGATGTGTACAGGGAGGTGCCAGCGGCCCCGTGCGCGGGCACGCACACGCCGGCGCGCAGGGCTGCCGTGGGCGGAAGGAGGGGAATGAGAAGGCCTCGGCAGCGTCTCAGGGAGGCACTACCTCCGCGCTGAGGCCGCAGAGTTCCAAGTGCAAAACACCAGGCCAAATCCGGCAAGGCGGCAGCTACGGAATGGCTTACACCTCAAGCCTCCTTCCGCAAACAATGCGATGGGAAGCACCTGGCTGTTCAGGGGAAGCCTGTGCTGGCCTCTCTTTTTAAAAGGGTGAACTCGAACCCCAACCTAGGAGCGCTGGCCTAGATGGCTCGGCAGATAAGTCCCAGACGTGGCTATGGAAAGACTGATCCCTCTCTGCTCAGAGCGCCTACCTCGGTGCTCACTAGCGCAAGCACCTCCCAACACACACACACACACACACACACACACACACACCACGGCACTCCCATCACTTTAAAACGCGCGCTCATCACCCTGCTGTTAATGAAGCCGCTGCGCGTAATGAGTGCACAGGTAAATAGGTACCGAAACCAGAAGCCTTCACCAGTCGGCTGGGCGATTTACCTCTCCCTACAGGGAGCAATTGTAGTTATCTTGTTTTAGGAGTGATTTGCTGTTGTCTGTGGTCTCCCCCTCCTCTTCTTGTGGAGAGAAGCCAAAAAAATATATATGTTCCGTGGTCAGAGTCTTCTTTCTGATAAGTTACCCGAGCATTGGTCTAAAACATTTGCTTAATCTGTTGGTTTTGGTTTGTTGTTTTGGGGAGTGTTGCTTTTCTGAGGGAAGCAAAAGAACGTGTGTTTGGTGGGGCTGGCAGCTCAGGACAAGAGTCTGCGTGTGC